TTTGTAAGTATGTTATATACTTGGTGTTGTGATTGTGTATGTGTGTACATATATGTACTTGTATATATACTCATACACATATACTGGGATATATGTATAATATACAATATATTATATATATCATACATACATATGTTCAGGGAGTGGGAAGAGAAAGAAAAAGGAAAGTTTGGCAGTAACAAATAGAATGAAGGAAAAATGAGAATCAGAATTAGTCATGAGGAGAAAAGAGAAAAACTTATCTAATGAAATTGGACTATGGGGTATAAAAAATACATCTAGTTTTGTTTTCAATTTTATTTATATTTATTTTTATGGGGTACCATGTGTTTTTTCAATACCTGCATATACTACACAATTATGCACTTAGGTAGATAGCATAGTTTTGCATCATTAGTCCAACACTTTTCTTCCGCCTCACTCCTCCCCTGGATTTTTCTTTTAACAGGTAAACATTGCTAGAATTTCATAATCAGGTATTTATTGAGTACATACCGTGTGCTTATCACTATGCTAGAAAGGCAACGAAGGGGAAGTTTAAGACATGTTTCCCTGCTTTCAAAGAACATAAAATCCAATAGAGGCGACTAAGTTAACATACATTAGAAACTAGAGAAATGAGTTATATGGTATCGGTATGGAATGAGTTAGCTTTTCAAAGGAGGTAAAGTTTGCAAGTTTTAAACAAAAACATGTAAATTCCTTCCTAAAGTTTCATACAATCAGTCCTGGAATCGGGTTCTCTTAGTTTCCATTAGGAAATTATAACTTGTTTGCTAAAAAGTATAGTGTACTTTTAATGGTTTTTAATGCTCTAACATCAGTTTTATGTTTTTCTAGACTGTAGCCGCTAAAGATTTAAAGCCATGTTTTTGCAACCTTTCCTGTTCTTGCTCCAAGAACTAGATAAAGTTAAGCTGATGTTTTGATTCAAACCCTAATATTAGGAGAGTCAACATGGCGGCCGAGCGGAAGACCAAGTTGTCCAAGAACCTGCTCACATGAAGTTCATGCAAAGGGGACTGGACTCGGAAACCAAGAAACAACTAGAAGAGGAAGAAAAGAAAATCATTAGTGACGAGCACTGGTACTTGGATTTGCCAGAGCTTAAAGAGAAAGAGAGTTTCATAATAGAAGAGCAAAGTTTCTTGTTATGTGAAGATCTTCTCTATGGAAGAATGTCATTCAGGGGATTTAATCCTGAAGTGGAGAAATTAATGCTTCTGATGAATGCTAAGAACAAAGCAGAAGAAGCTGAAGATGAAACAGT